CGGGTGGCTGCACTGATCTTGCTGTCTGGTGTGGCCTGTCTGCTGTGATGCGCATGTGCCCTGCGTTCCAGGCCCTGCTGCTCCCTCCTCGAGTTGCGGACGTCTTGTTGCGCTTGGCGCTTTCTGGCCAGGCCCTACCTCCTTCACTGGCAGCGGCTGCGCAGCTTCGCCATGATCATGTGCTGCTGGCACCCTTTGTTCACGAAGGGCACTGGACGCTTCTTACCTTGCGCACCCATGGCAGCCTGGTTCAAGCTACTGTCTTTGATGGTGTCCCGGGGCGGAATGCCTCGGCGGCGTACTCCCTTGCTGCGTCACTGTGCTTCTTGGGTGGTTGCAGCCTTGACGCGTTCCTTGAGCGAACCATCTGGACGCAGAGTTCTCCTGCTGATTGTGGGCCGTCTTGGTTGCTCATGCACTGAGCCTGCTACCTGCGCCAGCCTGTGAGCACCCCTTGCAGACCGCGCGTGCCTTCCTTGCAGCACTGCCAGCCTTTGACTCTGATATTGTTGGCCTCGGCGGCCTTGCATCGGAACAGGAACAGGAGCTGCAGCAGCTTTTGGTTCAGAAAGGCGTGCCTCAGGACCAAGCTGCGTCTCGGGTGCATTCCGCGGTTGCAAAAGTTGGTGCCGGTGCCCTTGCTAATGCTTTGAAGCAGAAGAACCAGTGGCAAGCTCTCAAAGCCGCGGCCAACCGGCCTGGTTCGCTCTTTAAGTGGGTGCAAGCTGATGAGCTTCAGGCGCACATTGAACGCAAAGCCCAGGATCGCTTCGGTGTTGAAGTTAGTAAGCCCAAGGCTAAAAAGCAGAAGTCCGCCAAGCGCCTCCCAGCCCCACTCCACATCGACCCTGGCCAGCTGCAGCTGTCGGAGGGCAGTTTCATCACGAAGACCGGTGGGCCCCTGAAGCAGCTCTCCTTCGATGAGGTTCAGGCCCAGGCTTCAGGTATCTGCTTCTGTTCGGTCGAACAGGCTGGGCCCTTCTTGGCTTTGGGTCGCAACCTCAGTGTTGATGCCCTGGCTCTCGCAACTACTGCAGAGCTGCCTGACCTTCCTGCCTCACGTACATCTGCTGTGCGTTACCCTGCTGTCTTCGCGCCCACACAGGAGGCCATTTTGGTTTCGGGATCCCTGATCCAATTGGGAGATGAGGAAGTGCAACTTTGTGCCACCGACATTGCTGAAGTTGAGCATCTCTCCACGGCGGTTTGTCGGCTCAGCCTGTTCCGTGATGAATACAAGAACTCCTGGGAGAAGTTCTGTGAAGCACCGCTGCGTGTTCTCTTGCAGCAGGTCCCGGAATTCCAGGTGTGCAAGGATCCTGCATGCGGTGGCAAATGCTTGGGCTTCCACGCTGCGGTCGACGAGGTTGTGGAGCATCTCTTTCTTGATGTCTGGGCCCGTCAATGGGTCCGGTTGGCAGGTGGCAAGGCTAAGCCTGTTGAGGCTGAGTTGTTCCAGGCTTTTCTGCGACTCCCAGCTTCGGCACTGCCCCACGTTTTCAATACGAGTCTCGATGGCTTGTACATGGAACCTCGGGCTGCGGATGGCACTGGTCCCCACGCAGCTTGGGCAGTTGTTTGGTTGCCGGGGCAGACAGGGGCTCAAGCCCAGCTCGCCATGCGTACTACGGAAAAGGCCCTGGCTGTCACACGCCTCGGTCACAAGTTTGGGCTTCGCACCAAAGAGGCGGATGAGCAGGCGGTCTTTGAGCTGCTTCGTCCCCAGCATCACTTCTTGAAGGTCAGAATCACGGCCCGCTTCCGCTTGCATCCGCTGCCTCATGGCTTTCAGCGACACAACTTGGTGCAGCTCTTGAAGCAATGGCAGTGGAACTGCAAGCCACTGCAACCGGATCGAGGGGACTCCGTTGGATGTGCATGGATTGTTGGGGCTTCTTGTGACCCACCTGCCCTTGCACTGCCTCTGGGCCAAGGCTTTGTGCTAGCCACTAAGATTCGTGATGTCGGGCAGCCTCGCGGGCCGTCAAAGGAAGTCTGTGCATCTGTGCGCACACGGCGCGCCCTGCTGTTGGATGATGACCCCGATCTTCCTGTTGACCCATGGGCAGATGGCTCTGATCCTTGGTCTGCTGCTCGCGTCGCGCCCCAGGCGGCCAGTTCTTCCACTGCGGCGGTTACCAAGATTGCTCAGCTTGAGGCCGGCCTGAAGCAGGACTTGCAGGACATCGTGCAGCGCAAGCTTGACGAGCGTGAGGCTGCCGGGCCTCCTCCAGGCCTTTCGGACCAGGACAAGCGTCTCCATGCCTTGGAGACCACTGTCACTGAGATGCGCCACCAGGGAGCCAAGTTTGAGACATGGTTTCAAGGCTTCGGCACCAAGGTTTCGGATCAGGCCACCCAGCTAGAGGCACTGAAAACCACTGTGCAGGAGCAACAACTTGAGCTGGGCAAGGTGCGCACTGACCTGCAGTCTACTGTCCAAAGCGCGGTTGCTTCTTTGCAGGGCAATCTGACCAATCAGATGGCAGCCCAGCTTGCTGGGCAGATGGAGCAGATTCAGTCGCTCTTTGCGGACAAAAAGCAACGACACTGACTAGGGCACCCCGGCCGCAGCCCTGGGCAAGCATGCGGGCCGTCTGTTTCTTCGTGCCCTTCCGCCTTTCGGCGCAATCCTCGGCCTCTTTCTCGGCGTGCCGGCCCCTCCGTCGGCATCTGCTGGGTGCTTTTTGCGTTTCTGCACTGGTGCCTTGGGCTCCAACTTTCGGTGTGGGGTGCCTCTGGACTGCTACTTTGGGTTTTGAGTGGTCCGATTGTCGCGGCCTCACATGCTGTTCCTACCGTTCGGTTTGGTGAGGCGACCCATCCTGGTCCTGCTGCCAACTTCTTCGTTAGCACCAGCAATCCCTCTGGTCTTCGCTCCAAAGAGCCGTTTTACTCCGATTGGGGGTTTGGAGTTCACTGCTTTTCGGAGACCCAGCTCTCGGCTGTTAGACTCCCAAGCAGCCGCCGGCAGTTTCAGGCATGTGCCAAAGCTGTCAACCGACAGGCCCGTGTGACTTCTGGTGCCCCTGCGGCGCTTCGGGTGAATAGTGATTGGGCTGGCACCTGGACGGGGGTGCTTCAGGTTGGGGATCTACCCTGTAGCACCTTCAACGTGGCTTGGCCTCCTGGACTTTTCGAGACCGGGCGGGTCATGATCAGCCGGCACTTTCATGAATCTTTGTCTGTCATGATTGCAACAGTTTACGGCTATCCTCAGGGCCCCACTTGGCCAGATGCACTCTCTCGTACTGACACCCTCTTGGGTACGTTGACGCGCGAGGTTGTTCTCGGCTCCAAGGGTTTTCGGGTTATCTGTGGCGACTTCAATCATGATACCGGCAGCCTGCACCAGTGCCAAATCTGGAAGTCACACGGCTGGATCGAGGCGCAAGACCTCGCTTTTCAATGTTGGGGCATAATCCCTCAGCCAACATGCAAGAATGCCACGCAGCGCGACTTCATCTGGCTCTCCCCTGAGGCGGCATCTTACTGTGTTCAGGTTCAGCTTTTTGAGGTCTTTCAGGAGCATTCTACACTAATCGCCGGGTTTGCTCTCCCGTGCCACGCCGTTGTTGAGCAATCCTGGCCGCTCCCTGCTGAGCTACCCTGGGCTGATATTGATGTTGGTGCCTGGCACCAGCTTGTGGGATTTCAGCCAGTTCCGTTTGCTTCTGACACCACTCGGTGGTTTTCTTCGTTCTCTAAAGCTGTTGAGCACAGCCTCGATGGGCATGTCGCTACCTTTCCGGGCGGCCATCTTCCGTCCAACTGTTTTGGGCGAGGTGCTCGCGTCAAGCCCCAGCGTTCCGCCTGTCCCTCTCGCCCTTTGCGGCCCAGTCGTCCTGGTGAGGATCTTCTACGTCACGATGGCCTCGGCGCCGAAGTGCGCCGCTGGTTTCAGCAGTTGCGCCGCCTCCAGTCAATGGCGCACTCCACCCGTGCTCAAAACATGGCCCCCGGTGCTGTTGACTACCGCCTGGG